ACTATGTCAGCTACCAGTCAGACCTGGGCCCTTACCCTGGCGGGCGCTTCTACGCCAAACCCCACCAGTGCGTGGCCATCCCCCCCGACCTGCGGCTGTGCCACAGCGTGGGCTACGACAAGATGGTGCTGCCCAACCTGCTGGACCACGAGACCATGGCCGAGGTGAAGCACCAGGCGAGCAGCTGGGTGCCACTGCTCAACAAGAATTGCCATATGGGCACCCAGGTCTTCCTCTGCTCCCTGTTTGCCCCTGTCTGCCTGGACCGGCCGGTCTACCCGTGCCGCTGGCTCTGCGAGGCCGTGCGTGACTCCTGCGAGCCTGTCATGCAGTTCTTTGGCTTCTTCTGGCCAGAGATGCTCAAGTGTGACCAGTTTCCCCAGGATGACGTCTGCATTGCTATGACAGCTCCCAATGCCACCGAGGTCTCCAGGCCCAAAGGTAAGGCATGGCCGTGCTGCAGCCTTGCTCCTGGCGCTCCTCTCTGAGCTGGCAGGGCAGGAGGGGACCACGCGGGACTGAAGGGGTTCTTGTGGCAGGAGGAGGCTCACCTGAGCTCTTCTTCTTGGCAGCAGCCCTCCTCCAGCCTCTGGGCACTCTCGTGTCCCAAAGGAGGTGGGATGCCCTGCCAGCTCCTCATCCCTATCGCAGAGCCTTGGCTCTTTGGAACATGGTGGGGTTGTGCCTGTTCTGATCCCTGCATGGTCACTGGGGCTGGGCACCAGCCCTGATGGACCAAGGTGTGACCCTCCATCCTCAGATCCTGCACTGTCCTGGCTCTGCTCCCGAGCCAGGCTGCTCTGGGCAGCAGGAGGATGTGTGGTGTCCACAGCACAAAGTGTTGGCTGACTGGAGCCAACAGTGACACCAGTCCTGGCTGTCCCCACATCCAGTGCAGTCCTAGGGCATGCACTGGAGATCCAGCCCTGCCCTTGGGTGGGCTGTGAGCTGGAGAGGGAGAAAAGAACCTGCCCAAAAAACAACTGGGGAAAGTGAACGTGGTTCGTGTTTGTTTCCATTGCGTGCAGCACGTTTCTGTGGTGCCGGACTGGCTTGTTCAAGTTTCAGTGAGTCTGGCTTGTTGCTGGAAAGTTGAAAAGAAATAAATATCCTGGTGTCACTTGGGGGTTTGCTGTTGGAGCGCTGTGAAAGGCAGGCAGGAGGAATGTTTGTCGAGGGAGATGGCAGAGGGCTCTGAGAGAGTGCAGTGCTTAAGGGAATTGAAGGGAATTGTCACTCCTGATTCCTCAGGCATTCGGGAGGAGCTCAGCACAGGCAGGGAGGGGGCTGAGTGCTTTCCGTGCCTTCTGTGCTGTGTCAGACTCATCTGCCTTTGCAGTTACCTGTACAGACAAAAGCTGGGTGTGCTGCTCGACTGGGAGAGGTAACCCAGCTAAAGGGAACTGTGCAGTGTCATCCTGCCCATCTTGAAAGTACTTCAGAGGAGAGGACAGGAGTGCATCTTGCAGCAGAGGGGTCTCCAGGAGCTGTGGAGGGCGGTGCAGAGCAGTGACTCTGGCATGGCAGGCACGGGACACCCAGAGGAGCTGTGTCACATCTCAGTGACATCCAGAGGCAGGTGGAATGTGAAGTTTGTCCCAGTGCCAGGGGGAAAATGGGGGCCTGATCTCCTTGCCAGGGACCAGCCTCTCCCCACAGCCATACTGGCTTCCTTGTCATGGCTTGCCCTTCCTGCTGGAGAAACCTCCTTGTTTTCCAGGAATGCTCTAAATTAAATCTGTCTCATGTGAACCTGGACCCTTGGTCAAGACCACAGCCGTGTTCCGTGTTGCAGGTACAAAGGTTGCTTTTATTTCCCCAGGGACTTGCAGCCAAGCATGCTCCTGGGACAGCTGGGTGTGAGCTGCCCCTTCCTAGGTCTGAAACAGTCTGAGCTGTGTGCAGGTCATTCATTTTACAGACATTAACGAGCCAGGACCTGGGAACAGCCTCCTAAAGGAGCAGCATCTGCCAGGTTTTCCTTTCCACTGAGTAGTTTAATGATTTCTCTTCACCTTTTGGACCTGGGTGGGACACTGCTGCTTTCTTGTGGTGCCTCAAACAGTTTGGAGTGGAAAAAAGCAAACTCCAAGTGAATTGCAGCCACTGGTGTGATGTGAAGCAGCACTGCTGGATGTCCTGAATGCCACAGAAGCTCTCTTATAAGGCACCCACTGCTTCAGGTCTGGTACTGCCACCTCCTGCAGATGTCAAGTGACATCCTGGGTGACCTGCAGCTCAGTCCTTGTCCCTGTGCTGCTGGTTACTTGTCTGCCTGTGTTCCATGTGCACCCTGTCTGTGTTTTCTGTCAGCACCAACTCCTTTGCTCTTGGGCACAGGAGTGTTTCCTGTTGATCCAAAGAGGGTCAGAACCAAGCAGTGTCCCCCCTTTTTCTCTTGGTACTAATAAGAACAAACCCTTTCAGTATTTTCCCCCGTTAACACCTTGAAATTGGAATTTGTTTCTGCCTCTCAAAGAGCTGACCTGCTGAATTCCTTTCTCCTTAAGCACAGGCAGTAAAGCCTGCAGGCCCACAGGATGCATCAGGGGAGTTGCAGATTAATACAGCATTACACATTCCTTCTCTTGCCCCTGGAGTAAGCTGGCTCTACAGCCAGGCTTTGCAAAAATGGTCAGCAGTGAGCTGCAGGCAGCTGAGATTGTGCTGGGAGTTTGCAGATGGGCCCCAGCCAAGCTGCAGAGGGGCCCGAGGGTGGGCTGGGGATGGCTGCTCCAGGGCCTCAGGAGGGATGGGAGGGCTTGCAGGTTTGGGGCAGCTCCAAAGAACAGCTTTCCTGGGGCACAGAGCTGGGCAGGAGCTGGCTGGGCCCCCAACATTAATGTTCCTGATGTAGTGGGATGTGGTGATCCAGAGCACAGGACAGTTTTTCTTCCCTTTGCCAGTAATGCTGTTGTGCTAGGCAGGACTGGAGGATGGGTTGATATAAATTGGATATAAGGAGGAAGTGTTTTGCAATGAGGGTTGTAAAATGCTGGCACAGATTATGTAGGAACAAGGTGGATGCCCCATGCTTGTAAATATCCCTGGTCAAGGACTCTGAGCAGCCTGATCAAGGTTGTTGATTAGGGCAGGGGGATTGTGCATAAGTGAAGCTGCTGCCTGTGCAAGGGGCTGTGCAGGGACTCCCAGCTCCTGGTGCAGCAAGGCTGGGGTCTCTGCCACCTTGGCTGTGTCACAGCCTGTTCAGGGGCTGCTGGAGCACAGCTAGAACAAAGCCTGTATTTGCACCATGGAACAATGACTCTTATTTTCCATTTTTGTTTGCTTTTTTTTTCCCCCTATTTTAATAGGTTGCCTGGAAAGCTCATCGAGTGGTGGCTTTCATGTTTGTCTGGCTGGTGTGGGCTTTGCCAGCCTCATGTGCACTTGGGCTGCTGAGACACTGAAGTGCATGGCAGGAACCCCAGCTTTGTTCCCCAGCAGAATGATGTGTCACCTTCCTGTGAGCACTCTCTCTCCCTTGTCATGAGCACAGTAAATATTTCTTTCCACAGCTGGAAAGAAATATTCTGACTGCGGATATCATCCTATCTGCAAAGGCTGGCTCCTGCCTGTGTCACTCTGAGATGGTGACAGTGGAAATTGCGTGCTGGGTTCTGGAAGGAGAGGTTACCCAGGGGATGGGCAGCTCTCAGAGGTACAGAGGGTGTGGATGTTGGTGCTGGGAAGGCTGGCTCGTGGCTTGCACACAGGAGCAAGCACAAGGCCAGTTGCTGTGCATGTGTGATTAATAAAATCATGGTGCACATCCCCAGGAATCAGCATTTGGCACAGAAGAGATTTGGGGGTGGCGACAGGGGAGGAACAAGCCACAGAAAACAAAAGTCTGGCCTGAATCCCTGTGGGGCATCTGAGGCTGAGGAGACACCACAGCATGGTCATGGCTGTGCCTCCCTGGCTCTGCACCCCTCTTTGAGACACCTCTCTGCTTTTTCACTCCAGCAATGCTGTGGCTTTGCTGGCCTGGCTGAGGGCTGGAAGGCCATGAGTGCTGTGTTTACTGGCAGATGTTTTGCTGCAGTGTTGTCCCTGAGAATAACTCCCTTGTGTGGGAAGAGCCCTCAGTCTTGCTGGACCAGGAACAAGCAGCATCTCCCAGCTCAATAAATTAATCTGCCAGTAGCTCAAATCTACGTCTGTGCTGCTGGGTGGTCTGCCCCAAGTGCAGATGGGGACTTGGAAACAGATTCTTATTCTCTGGGTGAAGTGAGATTTCCTCCCAGGACAGATCCCAGTGAAATCCCCTGGGCTGGCATCTCCCAAGAGGGAGATGTTGACCTCTGCCAGCAGCTGCCAAGCAGAGGTGGCTCTGCTCTGCTGGAGCCATGAGGGTGGAACAAAAGAGAGGGTGACTGCTCCTGGCGGTGGCTGGCCACTCCTGGCGGTGGCTGGCCACTCCTGGCGGTGGCTGGCCACTCCTTGGATGGCCACTCCTGGCGGTGGCTGGCCGCTCCTGGCGGGGCAGCATCCACAAGNTGGCCACTCCTGGCGGTGGCTGGCCACTCCTGGCGGTGAATGGCCACTCCTGGCGGTGAATGGCCACTCCTGGCGGTGAATGGCCACTCCTGGTGGTGAATGGCCACTCCTGGTGGTAGGTGGCCACTCTTGGTGTGGCAGCATCCACAAGAGCTGTGCTGGTCCATCCCCAGCCAGTGCTGCTCTGGCACAGGGCAGGAGGGAGGGTAGTGGGGTTTTCCTGGGCAGTCTGTGGTCCCCAGTAGCGAGGGGAGCACTGAACTGGGCTGTGCCAGTCCTGACCCTCTTGCCTGGCACCACCTTGGCACACTTGAGCCATCTCTGGGCAGCATCCTCCTGCTGTGCTGGGGCTGGGGCATCGTGTGCCTGCCTTGGCATGCAGTGGGCAGGGAATGTCAGCAGGCCATGGGCCGTGCCCCTTGGCAAGCTCTTCCCTCAGCTGAGAGCTCCTTTCTGTGCCAGTGCTGTCCTTTTAGCAGCTGCCTGTGCCTGCCCTTGGGGCCACTGGCAGCACTGTGTGGGGCTGGCAGCAGGCTGCCGGTGCCCAGGGCTGCCCTGGGAGCCAGTGGGTGGTTCTGGGTGTTGTCCCACACTTGTGGGAGCTGGGAGCCCATGGCAGGATCCATGGTCATGGATCCCCTTCAGGGGTGAGTGTGACAGCATGGCCAGTCTGGCTCTGTGGTGCTGCTTCCTCTGGCTGCCTGCCACCTCTCAATTGTCTTCACTTCTTTTTCTCTTGCCAGGAACCACCGTGTGTCCCCCTTGTGACAATGAGATGAAGTCAGAGGCCATCGTGGAGCACCTGTGTGCCAGCGAGTTTGGTAAGGAGGAGCACTCCAGGCACGGGGAGAGTTCCCAGCTGGTCATGGACACCATGACTCCTGTGTGGCTGCACCGGAGCTGCCACCTTGCCCTGCCTTGCCCTGCCCACCGCGGTGCTGTGTGTCCTGCAGTCTGTCCCCAAAGCCAGCCACGTGTGCCTCTAGATGTCACTGTGGGCATGCAGAGGTGGACGTTGTTAGAAAACACAAAGCTGCTCGAAGGCTTTGTCCTAAATGAGTGAGTGAGACAATCAGTGGTAAACTGAACTTCATTTAGAAAAAAAGATTATCACGAGGAAATATATTGGCTTTCTCAGATCAAACCCAGAATTAACTGCTTTTGACATCCTTGCTGGTGTATGTAACCTTCCAGGAAGATTATTAAAGGCATATTGAACAAGGTGTGCATTCCTGGGGGATTAGCACTTGAATGTGCCCTGTACCAGAGCGTGCTTATGCAAACCCAAACCTGCTCTGCATGCTGGTGTGCTCCCCTTTCTGCTGGAAATGAATTCTCAACTGTCCTGCAGATTTGCTATGCCAGAAGTCTTAAGTCCAGCAGGGAAAAGCACCAACAGGAACACCCATGTAATGGTTTCCCAGGAATGTGCATACTTCTGGCTTGGCTGGGGAATGGAGGCAGACGCTCAGTGCTTGGCCTGCCTGGGGAGTGGGAGGTGCTGAGTGCTCTGAGCTCTGCTCTGGGCAGGCCATGGGAGCTGGAGCAGAGCTGCCCCTGCCTCAGAGCACACACAGGGAGGGAGGAGCAGCCTCTGGGATCAGGAGCTCCCTGCCTCCTTGCAGGGCTGCAGAGGCATTGCCCCACTCCAGAGCTGGGGAATCTTTGTGCCAGAGGAGGAGAGAGGGTCACTGCAGTACCCGTCCCCTTGCAGAGGTGTGCAAGGAGTGAGCCAAAGGGGTGTCCTTCCTGCTGGGAAGGGAAATACAAACTTAACTTTATGCTTGACATCAGTTTCTGCTGCGTTGGGACAGTTCCAGCAGGGAGCAGAGGCCAAAGCAGAGGAATTCCCTGCCTCAGCAGAGCTTGGGTCAGTGGCTTGCCCACAGTGTTACTGGGAAAGACACTGGGGACAGTGTCCTCCAAAGGATGGATTATTTCCTGGCAGATGTGGCCAGCTGGGGAGCAGGAACAGGGATGGGATGGTCCTACCTGTGCCCTGTGAGGGAAGGGAAGGCAATGCAGGGGTGAGAGGGATGTCTCAGAGGAGGGAGTGGCTGGTGGAGGAAGCATCAGCTTCAGGAAGTTTTCCCAAAGCACAGTGTATGGCCCTTGGATCTTTGTTTAGTCTTGGGGGTTACTGTCCTGCGGTGATTTCTCAAGGAGAGCTGTTTATCTGGCACTGTTCTAAACTCCCAAACCTTCAGGCTGAGCTTTCTCATGCACGTCCCCCAAGGTAAACACTGGCAGCTGACAGGTTACAGATCCTCATCAGAGCCAGACATGTACAATAAATGTTTAAACTAACATGTGCTGCATGGGGCAGCTGTTGGTAGGGCTTGCACTGATTCCTGCTGTTCCTGCAGATTTTCTCTTACATCCCAGCAGCTTGGGACAGAAAAGAGGTGAGGACCACTTTGCCCAGCACAGATGTGTGGCTGTGTAGCTTAGAGTACAGAGCCAAGATGGGATAACACCAAGGAGGAGGCTGACCAGGGGTGAAAATAGTTTGTGGCAGGCTCTGTTCTTTCCAGCAGTGCAGGAAGTGAACACAAACTGCAAAGACAAGGCAGGAGAGGATTTTGGACAAGATGCTGCTCTGTTCTTCCCAGCAGTGCTGCAGTGAGCTGTGAACCCAAACTGCAAAGACAAGGGCAGGAGAGGATTTTGGACAAGATGCTGGGGGCACAGGGGTGCCAGGAGAATGCCAGCCTTGTGGTGCAGCTGAACTCTGGGTTCTGCTGCAGATGTGTGGCTGTGCCAGTTAGGAAGTGGCTGTGTAGCTTAGAGTGCACAGCCAAGATGGGATAACACCAAGGGGGGTGAAGGAGGAGGCTGACCAGGGGTGCAGAGAGTTTGTTTTAGGCTCTGTTCTTTCCAGCAGTGCAGGAAGTGAACCCAAACTGCAAAGACAAGGCAGGAGAGGATTTTGGACAAGATGCTGGGGGCACAGGGGTGCCAGGAGAATGCCAGCCTCGTGGTGCAGCAGAACTGTGGGTTCACCTTTGAGCAAGGATGAGTGAGGACTCTGGGATGCTGCTCTAGGCAGCTGGGCTGTTCTCTGAGAATAAAGCAGCTTTGGGGTGGTGTCAGTGAGGGGTGCCAGGGCTCAGAGCAGCACAGGGGGCTGATCAGGTACATGGGGGTGACTGCAGGGTGGATTTCAGTGTGAGGCAGCACTGGAAGCAAGAGGAAGCATGGAAGGGGCTCCAGAGCCCCCACAGCCACCTCCCCCAGCTGCCCTGGGCTGCAGCCAGCGCTTGTTTCTTACTCCACGAGTTCATTCCACGCTCTGTTTCTCTTAGTGATTTTATTTATTGTTTCTGCCCTTTCTCTGGGGTCTGGGGGGATCCTGCTGAACGGGCTCTGTGGCACTGGGGACTGCAGAACAATCAATACATGCTGTTTATTTTTCCTCTGTGACTGACAGGCCCTTGCCTGCAGCCTTCTCCTGTTACAGCCCTAATGTGTCTTCTGGCAGGTTTCTTCCTTCTCAGTGATTTCTAAAGGAAGGAAAAACGAGGCTGAAGGAACAGTGGAGCTTTCCCTTCTCTCACATGAGGTGCTGGAGTGGGGCCCCAGCAGAGACAGCATCCTAGTTCTGTGCTGAAAAAGAGGGGTGAGGAGCAGGAATGGTGTGTGGTGGTTTGTGAGCAGGGCACAGGGGTTCTGCTCTCAGCTGGTGACTGCCCTGGTGCAGTGCTGTCCTTGGAGAAGGCTGTGCTGGAACTGTTTGTCCCATGAAAATAAATGTGGGTGAAATGTTGATCCTGCAGCCCTCTTGGTGCTGCCACCAGTGCCACAGGTGATGGACTGGAAAGGTGGCACATGTTCCTGCTGTGGATAACTCTCCTGGGGTCAGGTCCTGCCTGGCAGCCACAGCTGAAGGTGAAATCTATGTGAGCAAGCCTTTCCTGGGATCCCAGAGTGATCCTGGCCCTTCTCCCACTCGCTGCTGAGACAGATTTGGTGTGGCATGGGGGGGTTGGAAGGGCCAAGGCTCCCAGTGAGGAGGAAGCTGTTTGCTTTGGCAGCTCTGCTGGGTGCTGGAGCCAAGACTCAAAGCATCCTGCCTGGCAAAAAGGGCTGGGAGGATGCCAGGAGAGCTGCTGCAGCACCAGGGTCCCCCAACAAATATTCTAGGAAAGCCAGAACTTGGAGGCTGCTCCTTCTAGAAGTTGGTGGTGAGCTCTTGGAGTGGGATGAGCCCTGGAATGAGTGGGATGAGCCCTGAAGAAGCTGGTGCTGTTCCTAAAAACCCTCAGGCACCCCTTCTCTGGTGTTGGCCAAAGCTGTGTGTCTGTCCTGCCACTGTGGAACCCAGCTCTCACACCTGGGAGTCTCACCTGGAATGGGGTTGGAATTTAGGGAATGTGGCGCAAGTAAGTGGAATTTGGGGAGCCAGAGGAATGAGGGCTGGGCAGAGATCATCCTCAGCCTGCAGCACCAAAGGCAGGTGCTCCATGAGCTGTGCTTACCTGGGCAGCACTGCAGGTAAACACTGCTGACATTGCTGCTGGGAGGAACAGAGCCTGCCACAAACTGTTTGCACCCCTGGTCAGCCTCCTCCTTCATCCCCATCTTGGCTCTGTGTGCTGCTCTGCACGAGCAGCCTTTGGATGAGGTTTTGGTTTCCATCTGGATTTATGGTTCCCCTGGGCAGCTCCCATGAACCTGCACTGCTCACAAAGTGCTGTGTGCAGGGGAGGGAGCAGCTGTGAGCTCCCACAGCTCAGGATTACCAGCCCTTCTTTGTCTTCCATGCTGTGTGATGCTTGCACTAGATCAACACCTCCACTACCTGGCAGATCCTGTTCTTCCTCTGGCAAAAAAGATCAAATTTTCAGTGATTTCAGCAGAGCAAAAAAGCCATTTTGCAGAAATCTCTTATTGTGCTGTTGTAGTGGTGTTTTACACCCCTCCCTGTTTTATCCCTCCTGCCCTGGCCACCTCTCTTTTTACTGCAAGGGCTCCAGTCAGCATGAATAAAGGAATTGAGGCTGACATTGAGGGGTTGCTGCTGCTGCTGCCCCGTTGGTGCCATGGAGCTTGGAGCTGCTTGAAAACTCCTTCCTTCATTTTCCAGATCTGCTGCAAACTGATCTGGTTCAGCATCTTTAGCTCCTTAAATTCAGCAGTTTCTTTAGCTCCTGAATTTGGAAAACAGATGGAATGAAAATCTCACTTATGTTTCCATTCCTAGATTACTTTCTGATACAATAGCAGTGAACATGACAAGGATCTTGGCAAACCTAAGGGATGTTTTTGGCACAGGGGCAGGCAAACACCAGTGCTGCTGTTGTCAGGGTGGTGACACTGAGTCCCTGCTGCCTGCTCAGGGTTGTCACTGAGCTGTCCTGCTGCCGTGTGTGTCTGGGGCAGTGTGAGCAGTGCTCCTGCCCAGGAAGCAGCACGTGTTCCCTGCTGTGTGTTCCAGCAGAGCAGGACTTCAAGGAGTGATGCTGTGAGGATCCAGCTCCCTGCCAGAGCCAGAGGTTCTTGGGGACTGCCTGCAACTGCCCTGAGACTCCCATGGGAAGGGACAGCAGCCAAGCAGTCACCTCTCTGAGCACTGGTTATCTGCAGCTCTGGAGTAAACTCCCAAATGATGAAAATATGTTAGCAATTTTGCTCCATATGTGCTTTTCCCCAAAAACGAGGCAGAGCCAAATGGCACTGAAATGATGTTTTAATGTACAACACATTTTCGTCATTTTTTCCCATGTAGGCAAAATTCCTCTTCATGGTCATGGCAAAAAACCTTTTTTTTTTCTTTTTTTGGGGTGGGGGGTGTTGTGATTAACTCAGGAAAATGCTGAACCCAAAGAGGGGAGAATATTTTCCATGGAAGTTGAATCAGACCAACTTTCCTTCTCCCAGGCACATGCTGGGACCTCCACAGCTCTGATGCTGTGACATCCAGTGCTTGCAAACTTGTTTCACAGGCACCTGAGGGCCGGTGTGACTGCAAACAAATGCTTGAGAAGCCAAATTGACCTTTTAAATGATCCTTTCAAGAGTCTGTCCATGCCTCTAGAGCAGGGAAGTCAGCTCATTTACTCAGTTAACATTTGTGCTTGGCAGCTGAACAAGTTCCACTCTCAAATGGGAAGTGCTGGGTGCTGTGTGCAGGAAGGGGAACAAAGATTTCAGTGTTTTACCTGGGTGCTCTCCTGGGCATGGGGCAGCTCCTCTGTGGAATTTTCAGGCAATCCTGACATGGGAAGAGATGAGAATCTTGATTCTATGTTTCAGACGGCTGAATTATTATTTTATGATATATATTATATTAAAAGAAAATGATATATTAAAACTATACTGAAGAGCAGAAGAAAGGATTTCATCAGTAGGTTAGGAAAGGAATGGAATGATAATGAAAGCTTGTGATTGCTCACAGCTTGACACAGGTGGCTGTCATTGCTCATTAAGTAAAAACAATTCACAAGCTGGGTAAACATAAATCACACCCCAAAGCAGCAAAACATGGAGAAGCTGAAGCTTCTCAGCTTCTCAGGAGAAAAGATCTAAGGAAAGGATTTTTCATAAAAGTATGTCTGTGACATTTCCCCATCAGGTGCAAGGGTATGGGTGTCATGCCCAAGTCATGGCCAGGGTGATGCCATGGAGGAGCAGGAGGATTCAGGAGCAGAGTAGGGAGAAGGGGATGCAGGAGGGGAGCAGGGAAGGGACAGGGAGAGGGGATGCAGGAGGGGAGCAGGGCACTGTGTGTGCAGAGGGACAGGGAGAGGGGATGCAGGAAGGGAGCAGGGCACTGGGTGTGTGCAGAGGAACAGGGACATTGCTGCTGTCACTGCTGCCCCCTCAGCCTCACACAGCAGAGGCTTTGTGCCAGTGAAAGCTGCTTAGGAGTTTTGTTTTCCCCTCTCCCATCTTGTTTTGCAGCTCTGAAGATGACCATAAAGGAAGTGAAGAAGGAGAACGGGGACAAGATGATCATTCCACGGAAGAGGAAGGCGCTGAAGCTGGGGCCCATCCGCAAGAAGAACCTGAAGAAGCTGGTGCTGTTCCTAAAGAATGGGGCAGACTGTCCCTGCCACCAGCTGGACAACCTCAGCCACTACTTCCTCATCATGGGCCGCCAGGTGAAGACCCAGTACCTGCTGACAGCCATCTACAAGTGGGACAAGAAGAACAAAGAGTTCAAGAAGTTCATGAAGAAGATGAAATCGCCCGACTGCCCCACGTTCCCGTCCGTGTTCAAGTGATGCCCTGGCTGCAGGAGGGAGGGAGAGCCCCTCCCTGGACCTGCCCAGGTGGGCACAGCGGCTCCATCTCGCTGCTCTGCTGCAGGGATGCTGGAGCCCAGCCCTCCTGCTCCTCCATCCTGCTCCTCACAGCTCCCTCAGCCCTTCCAAAGCTTGGCCTGATGGCCTGGGCACGTGCTGCAAGCAGTGGCTGAGCTCACACACCATTTCTGACTGCATTGGTAAAGACCTGTTATTGTACAGATATTGCAATAGCAGCTGTCAGGTGAAGAGGGCGAGCAGAGGGCTGGGAGGTGATGTTAAGAGCTTGCATGCTTGCAGGAAGGACCCTCATGGACCACATCACTCCCATCTTCATGGCTGCAGGATTGCCCTGAATTCCTGTAGGAACCAGAGCTGGCTGATTAGACAGAGATCCTATCTTCATGATCAAAGTTAATAAATGAGTAGTGGAGAACCCATTACAACCTCTGATAAGAATTCCTAATAGCTAATTGCCCTCACTGTAAAAACATCCCCATTATAGTCTTAACCTGTTTAGTTTAAGCCTTACCCCTGGTTCCTTGTGGTGCCTTGTTGGGCTGGAGCCCTCCCTCACCAGCATCTCTTGTGATGTCCCGCTGGGTGCCTGCCTTGGCATCTGCTGTGCCAGCTGAGCCCCTGGCAGCCTTTGAGCCTCCTCACTGTGCAGTGTGTTGGTGCACTGGCATGGGGAGCAGGGGCAGAGGGGGCTCTGTGCCTCCACCTGTGCCTTTGGCCTTGAGCAGGTCCCTGTCTCAGCAGTGACCAGCTGAGATCCCCCTTCCTGGGCTGAGATCCCCCTGCCTGGGCTGAGAGAGATCTTCCTGGGCTGAGATCCCTTCCTGAGCTGATTCCCCACCTGGCCTGAGAACCCTATCCTGGGCTGAGAGAGATCCCCTTCCTGGGCTGAGATCCCCCTAGCTGGGCTGGGATCCCTTTCCTGGGCTGAGATCCCCCTGCCTGGGCTGAGAGAGATCTCCTTCCTGGGCTGAGATCTCCTAGGTGGGCTGATTCCCCACCTGGGCTGAGATCTCTTCCTGGGCTGAGATCCCCTGCCTGGGCTGAGAGAGACCCCCTAGCTGGGCTGAGATCTCCTGGGCTGAGATCCCTTCCTGGGCTGGGATCCCCTCCAGGCTGTGGCATTTCCCCTGCACAGCTGAGTTCCCCTGAGCTGCTGCTGCCCAGACCTGTCACTCCATTTCAAGCCCAAGCAAAGGTTCAGTTTCTGCCCTGCCTGAGGCTTTGGCTGGGGGGAGCTCATGGCCAGCTCCTCCAGCTTGTGACACTCCTCACTTTATACCAGTGATGTTTTTATAGCTCCTTTAGGCTGCTGGCAAAGTACCAGAGAGCACAAGGCCAAGGACTTTTCCCTATGGAGCCCCACAGGGAATGTATCATCCCCATCTCCCCCCTTTGCTGTGGGACCCCAGTCTGGGGTTTTGTCTGTTTGATCTGTGACAACTTGGCTCTCTATCATTATGTCTTTTGTGCCCTAATTGAAATGTCATGTTTGTATGATTTCAAATAGTTTATGAAAGACAAAGAATATCTTACCCAAATGATTACATTTATCGACCAAGCTGAAATTCATTATTCTGTTAATTGGACTGGTTCTCTTTTTCATAGACCCATACCACTCTGTATTCATTATCCTTCCTCCTTCCATTTAGTATTCTCATCCATCACCAATACTCTGGGAGAATGAATATCTGATGTCTGAGATAATCCTGTTGTATCACAGTTAAGTGAAATAACAAATCCTCATTTTTGAGGTTTGAACCAAACCCCCTCAAAACTGGTAAATTAATTATTCCTTAGCCTGGGATTGGTGCTTATTTCCCACATGGGGACAGAGCCATGGACTTGGTTGTAGAAGAATTCCATTAACAAGCCAAGTACTCTGAGGAATGATGTTTCACAGCTAACGGAGAGATGGATTTAGGATGTGAACTTTGTAGAGTCCCCTTAGGTTGTCTTAGACCACCATTTGTAGTAGTGTTGTTTCTTTATTGCAAAATTAATCATTGTAGATAATGTGCTTTATTAGTGAAGTAAAGAAATAAATAAACCATGGCCTTTAACATCACAGATTGATGAGGTGGAATGATGGAGAGGAGGGAATGGAGGCAGGACATGGTGAGCTGAAGGTGTGGTTCTGAGTGCCCCGAAAAGCAGTGGCACCACCAAGGAGAAAGAGCTCCCAGACCTAAGGAAAAGAATCTTCAGGGTGTTCACAGGGGTCTGAGGATGAGGGAGGAGACGAGGATCTGACTCCATGTTCCAGAAGGCTTGATTTATTGTTTTATGATATATTAAATCTATACTAAAAGAATAGAAGAAAGGATTTCATCAGAAGGCTGGCTAAGAATAGAATAGAATAGAATAGAATAGAATAGAATAGAATAGAATAGAATAGAATAGAATAGAATAGAATAGAATAGAA